GGGCAGATGGAAGAAAAGTATCTTTCCAAGCACAGTGCTGGAAAGGACTCATTGCATCCTTACTGGATTAGATACCTTTCTACTTCACTGGGATTAACAAACAGGAGAAAAGAGAGAAAAATTCCATTTGGTAAAAACATGAAAGAGCAGAAAATTAGACCAAAAAGAGGTGAAAGTCTTCTGCACATCCCAATTTGCTCTGTTATGAATTTCTAGAGAAGGTAGCGGAGCAATGTGAAGGGCTTGACATGGTACAAAACTGACAAGCTGGATTCTAGAATATGTTCTTCCTCCTTTCAAGTTTCCTTGGTCATTTTTTTCTGGCCATAGACAAGGCCAACACATTTCAAAAATTAACTCAAAATAAAATAATAACAAAAGATTTGCAAAGCCCATTGGGTATACACAATAATTTATTCAGTGTGGCTTCATTTAACATATGTTGGTCAAAATCAATGATGTTTTGGCAAGTAGTAATAATTGCAAAAATGACACCAAGAATGGGTCTGAAAATAAATAGGAATTCTTTTATAACCACAAAGAAAAGAAGGGCATTTACAGACAAAAAATGTTTATGAAAGCTGGGAGATTATTTGAGCTGCCAATGAAATGGGATTCATAATGCCTCCCCCAACACAGCATCTGGAAACTCCATAAAACAGGTCAAACACTGAAGGTCCAGAGACTATAATTTTTCAAAAATAATAATTGCATGGCTATATATTTGAATTTATATAGAAAATAAGCTACTCAATCACCTGGAACAGTTTTTTAAAAATACATATTAGAAAGAAAAAAAAAAATAGCTTCAGCCTCTGCCTTGAGGAAAAGCCCCAATTCAGTGGGCACGGTAAACCCGCCAAGGTGAGAAAGGCCATGTGAGTCCAGGAGAGACACTCCAAGGACATGCCCTGTATCCCTCCCATGTCATTTTGTCCATTTTGTCACTAAACTCATTCATGGCACAATAAGAAGGAATAGGTACGAAGGATGGCAACAGGCTTGTGTGTTAATTTCCAGGGGCTCTACTCAGGTCCATTCAGGTAAACTGAGCACAAGGATGGTCCCTCCTTTAGCTCACTGTCGTGTTTGCTAATGCTGGTTTGTATATTCCTATAATTTATAATGTAACTCCGACTATTCATGTAACTTTTTTGAGGCAACGTTCATACCACTGCATCAGAACAAAATAGAATGAAACGCTCGTGTTTGCTGGACTGCATGACCCCTTTTCTGATCAGACTGTCCCATTAGATTTGAAGCCTTTAGAGACATGTTGGAGGCAACTGGAATTCTCAAATCTTTGGTCTTGTATAATTCTCTTACACGTATTTAGGAAATTGCTAAGCCCTCTTTTATATGTTGCTGTGACTCAAAGTGTGAGTAATTGGGGTAAGAACCCTGGCTATCTTTAGAGAAAGGCTCTTTGGATAAATTGAGAAAATTCAAACAGCTTTGTTCCTGTAAAATGTCGATTGAAACAGCTTTTGTAGATACTCACTTTTCCTCTTGTGATGTAGGACCCTAACCTAATTTTGTTTCACAAACATCTCATTCCGGGGGAGAAAAATTTTTTTGACTGAAATAAACAGACATCAATAAATACCTAGTGCTAAGATGAGCCTGAAGAGAAGGTTAGAGGTATTCTGAGTCATGAAACTGACAGTAAAGAACCTGATTATTTAACATAATACACTCTTAAAGATAAGATGTGAAATGTAAGATCGGCTGGGCAGGAAAGTGACCAAGGCACTCAAGCATGCTTTTGTATCATGCAGGTCTATTATCAGTGGTGTAACTAATAAGGTTTTTTTTTCCTTCTTTGTGGGAGAAATTTATTTTTATAAATATCAAAATTTTTTAACTTCTTGGGCATCCAGGTCAGTTATTCTAAAATCCCTAAAGTCATAGTTTTAATTTTGTTTTTATTTGTTTGTTGTTGGACTTGGGCGGATCTTGTCTGAATTACCTTTTTATGTTTGCCACATTTAGAGTCCTCACTAACATCAGATTGGTTTACCTCCTCAAGTTAAATGGCTTTCTCTACCTTTTCCTTTTCAAATCTTTTAAAGGAATAAAATTTCTAAAGCAATTCAAAAGGCCCCACATCTGGGGTGCCTGAGTGGCTCAGTCAGTTTAGCGTCTGCCTTTGGCTCAGGTCATGATCCCAGGGTCCTGGGATCAAGCCCCACATCAGGCTCCCTGCTCAGCAAGGAGTCTGCTTCGCCTTCTCCCTCTGTCTCTCCCCCTCTGCTCATGCTCTGTGTCACACTTTCTCTCTCTAATAAATAAAATCTTTAAAAAAAAAAAAAAAAAGGCCCCAGATCTGACTTTCGGGCATTAACGCAACTTCTGCGACTTTGACAGACAAGTTGGGGTATCAGAATTTTAGAGCTCAAATAAATAATTTGAGCCTGTTGACTCTGAGAGGGTTCATATAACTTCAGCTTCTTGGTGCTTATTGAAACCAAACAAACTTTCCTGAACACTGAATTAAGGCCCTAAAAAAATGAGTCCATAATATTATTTCCTCCAACCAACAGCCATCTTGGGCTAAATGAGTTAGCTCCTTAATTCCATGGGACTGAAAAATATACACAGGCTAATGTTTAAAGAGAATGATTGTACCACATAAACAAAAAAGTCCAAGGCTTCAGGTAGATATTCCTCTCTTGCTCTCTCAAATCCACATCCTCTGTATGGGATCCACTTTCAGACAGGCTCTTCCAATAACCTTACATTCTCTCAGGTTTAATTATCTAAAAATGGTATACTCTTTCTTCACAAGTCTCCCCAAAATTTTATTGGCTCTGGTTGAAACATGAGACCAGCTCTGAACATTCACCATGGCCCCAGTCACTTTACATCTTGATGCATTGAACTAGTAACAGAGCCCATTACAAAGCCTACAGACTAAACATGGAAAAGGCGTTGTTTCCCAAGTGAAATTGAGTACTGTTCCTAACATTAAGGTGAACAGATGTGCAATGTCAGATACATCTGACAATTGGACAACACATTTGCAAGGTACTCCTCTACCATCATATATTAATTTATTAGTGGTGTCATTATACCTGCTCATCTCTTCTAAGTTCTAATTTCTATGGCTTTGAAAACATTTAACACTCCTAGATACTCAGACAGGGGAAAGAAAAACATATTTCTGTGCAAAGACTTAATTAATGTTCATAACAGATAACTTTCAGTATCCAAAAAGGAGATGCAACTCAATTCCCATTAATAGATGAATGGATAAACAAGTCTGGCATAACCACACAATCATATCTATACTCAGTAATAATAATAATAATATACATACTTAGTAATAAAAAAGAATGCATTATTGATACATGCAACAAGATGTGGATGAATCTCAAAATATTATGCAGAGCGAAAGAAGCGAGACAAATAAAGAGTACATACTGAATGATTCTATTTACATAAAATTTTAGAAATGAAAACTAACGTATCATGAGAGAAAGCAGATCAAGATCAGTGATTGCCTATGGGTGGGGAGTCAAATCAGGGAAGGGAAGATGGAAAGATTTAGGAGCTACACAGGGAAATTTCTGAGGGTGATGGAGATGTTCATTATCTTGATCAAGAATTGTCATTTTTTGCTGTAAAGGGCAAGATAGTAAATATTTTAGGCATTGCAGGCCATATGGCCTCTGTCACAACTACTCAACTCTGCCACTGCATCATCAAAACAGCTATAGATAAGAAGTAATTAAATGAATGTGAGTGTGTTCCAACCAAACAGGCAGCAGCCCAACCTAGTCTGCAGGCTGCAGTTTGCCAATTCCTGATCTTGATTAAGATAATTGTTTTGCAAGTGTGTACATATGTCAAGACTTATCAAATTATACACTTTAATTACATGCCATTTATTGTATGTCAATTATGCCTCAATAAAGCTATTAAAAATAAAAACAAAACAAACAGCATTAACTTCCTCATCATGGATTGGATAAAGCTCAAGCTTCTTACCGTGGCATAAAATTCCCTCCATGAACTGGCCTCTGTATTCCTACCCGATCAGATTTATTGCCATTTTCTGGTGGGATTTTACCTTTTGGCAGTGCCAAAACACACACATCATGCTATTTCAACTCTATGCCTTTATTTAGGTGTTCTATCTAGAATAACCTACCCTTACCAGTGTAAGATTAAACTTGCACATTTACAATTCCAAGATACCTTCCTTCTTCCCTTATCTTACTCCTTCATTTCTTCTTGTGCCACCGTTATAGTCTGTGTGTGTGTGTGTGTGTGTATACATGGGTATATATTTATACATACATATAAACACACTTGCACTATTACATTGATATATATATACATACACATTCTTGCATGATTACACTTTTCCATACTTTTAACTATATATATCTGAAATTTTTCTTGTACATATGCAGAGTTAAAATGAATTATCATTCATTTTATATTCATTTCATGAATATCAGTAGACTTGGATATATGACTGAGCACTCCCTGGGTCTATTACATCTATCATGGTGCCTGGCACCTTAAAGAAAATAAATCAGTATGGCAGCTGATATTAAGGCCATCTTACAGATTATAAAACTGATAGGTAGAGAAACCGTATTTAGTTCATAGACACATGGTTATGAATAGCCAATCTAGTATCAGAAAAAAGTTCTTCCTGGGGCGCCTGGGTGGCTCAGTTGGTTAAGCAACAGCCTTCAGCTCAGGTCATGATCCTGGAGTCCCGGGATCGAGTCCCGCATCGGGCTCCCTGCTCAGCAGGGAGTCTGCTTCTCCCTCTGACCCTCTTCCCTCTCGTGCTCTCTATCTCTCATTCTCTCTCTCTCTCAAATAAATAAATAAAAAAATAATCTTTAAAGAAAAAAGTTCTTCCATATCTAATCTCAAGTGCTTTCCACTAACCCTTGCAATATTTTTTATTATCAGAAGCTTATCTACATTTCACACTGGTCTTTTTCTGACTTTGCCACCACTCCTCTTTCACCTCCTAGATACACCAAAATGAAGACTGCCACCAACATCTACATTTTCAACCTTGCTCTAGCAGACGCCTTAGCAACCAGTACCCTGCCCTTCCAGAGTGTCAATTACCTAATGGGTACATGGCCGTTTGGAACCATCCTCTGCAAGATCGTGATCTCCATAGATTACTATAATATGTTCACCAGCATCTTTACCCTCTGCACCATGAGTGTCGATCGTTACATCGCAGTCTGCCATCCCGTCAAAGCCCTGGATTTCCGTACTCCCCGCAATGCCAAAATTGTCAATGTCTGCAACTGGATCCTCTCTTCAGCCATTGGTTTGCCTGTAATGTTCATGGCAACAACAAAGTACAGGCATGGTAAGTTGCAGACCTGAGGGATGAAGGGTTTATAGACTGACATGCTGGTGAAGTCATGAGTGGTCCAACTTCTTAGTCAAATTGTAATACCAGTGATTTTTTCCTAACAGAATGCCTTTGAATCTTTTGTAATAGGAATTCTCCCCTAAATTTTAAGCACACTAAACATTTTAAAGAGAATATAATCTATTGTTTCCTGATTTCTCTGCATTGACTTCATCAAAATGAGGGCAAACTAAGAATATAGCTCTTGGAAGAATGATTAGACTTAAACCCAAAAAAACATTAAGTTGTTTTAAAATTTCAAGTGGCTGCTAACATGACAAATTTATTTTTCTAGTCCTCATATCAGAATGATGAACTACCCATCAAAAATGGAATGAAAATATCCATTAGCTGGAAACTCCTATAGATTTTGGACAGTGATTGTATTTTTTATGTCAACATAGACCCCATAAAGGATCTAGCTTACAGTAAAAGGTTCCACAATTGTTGACTGAATGAAAGCTTAATGTGATCAAAATGGACAAAAAATGAGATATTTAGAAAAAAAATCTAAGAATAACTCTCCCTGAAAATCAACAGAGAACTGAGTTTCTCTCTCAATTTCTTTAAATCTTCCCTTATTGGCTTCCCTTAATGGATTTAAGTTAGCTCTGGTCAAAGCTATAATTAGATGCTGCTGCTAATTCTTCCTTATAATTATTGTTTTCCAGGTTCCATAGATTGTACCCTCACATTCTCTCACCCAGCCTGGTACTGGGAAAACCTGCTGAAAATTTGTGTTTTCATCTTTGCCTTCGTCATGCCTGTCCTCATCATTACAGTGTGTTATGGACTGATGATCTTACGCCTCAAGAGTGTCCGTATGCTCTCTGGCTCCAAAGAAAAGGACAGGAATCTGCGAAGAATCACCAGAATGGTGCTGGTGGTTGTGGCTGTGTTCATTGTTTGCTGGACTCCCATTCACATTTATGTCATCATTAAAGCCTTGATCACAATCCCGGAAACTACATTCCAGACCGTTTCCTGGCACTTCTGCATTGCCCTAGGTTACACAAACAGCTGCCTAAATCCTGTCCTTTACGCATTTCTGGATGAAAACTTCAAACGATGCTTCAGAGAGTTCTGTATCCCAACTTCCTCCACCCTTGAGCAGCAAAACTCCACTCGAGTCCGTCAGAACACTAGAGACCACCCTTCCACGGCCAATACAGTGGATAGGACTAACCATCAGGTATGCAGCTTCTAGAATTGGGTACACCTACTGGGGATGACATAAAAATTATAGAGTTTGTACCAATCCAAGTTTTAATCCATTAGAAGTGAATCAGTAACTAAGGGATGAAGGTTCTCCCCCTGTGAGGACTGAGGGAGGAGAATAGCAAATTATGGTCATTGTGACAGAGAGGTGAGGTACTTCACAGTATATAAACAGCCCTATGTATCTGTATGTATTTATTTAGAGATACACCCACTAGAAATTCATAAAGCTGCTAAAAATCAGTATCTTCATAGCTGTTGCTTCTATGCAAAATTAATGATGTTAGCACATTGTGGAAGTGATGCTGTTCTACAGTTCTTCTCATTTTCCCCAATGTTTATGTTTCATGCGTATCATTGCAAGTCCGTCCTGTTCTGGTTCTGTGGTTAAACAGAAAAGGTCATCACTTCACTCACTGTGGTGATGGGTGCCAGATGTTCCCAGCAAGTCAGGGTCACAGCAAAGGAGAAAAGACAAAAAACAAAAACAAAAACAAAAACATAGCCAGTCCTAACTTGTTCAGCCATTGGTTTGTCAATCTTTATACCTGAACTCTAGAGGAAACATCAAACATATTACTTAATTATTAGAACTAACTTACTTTTTAACAGTCATTATACCAGTTAAAGTTAATAGGGTGAGGAGTGACTAGTTTTTGGAAGATATATTCCTATGTGCAGAGTACAGAGGGCAGCCTGCATGGGAGAGGCAAGATTTACACACAGTATTATAACCACAGGAGAATCAGAAAAGAGAAAAATTTGTCTCTAAGTTAATATGATCTTGATAAACCAATGATGTGCAAAATTTGGAATCTGATAGAAGGTAAATCAAACATATCACTTAACTCTTAATATTAATTTAAATAAGTAAACTTTCAAATAATAGTGTCAGCATCCAAATATCCAAAAAAGCCTCCGTAATTTTATAACACGGAACTCAAATTCGAACTTCCGGTGAAGTAAATCCTTGAGTCAGAACCTGGTCAGAGGCCAGGACTCAGAGAACAGATGCCTCCATAAAAACAACTAGAAGTCTAATTGAGGAGGCAGACGAAGAGCCTTACAGTACAGAGCGGCTGCCACCTCTCCCTTTTTTTTCCCCCAGGCTCCACTCTGTCTCCGCCACGCCCACTACCGGCCCCCAGCCCAGCCCAGCCCCACCCAGGTTTACCCTTTCCTACTGACAACAGGCCTAGCTTAAGGAGGCCCACATGGTCTGCCATAGGGGGCGCTAATCCTCACACCTCTAATATTAAATAATGCTAAAAGGAACACTGGAATTTGGGCCCTTTAGGCAGTATAAGCTGATGATGGCCAACCCACTGCCAACCAAAGGGAAATTACTACTTTACTTTGTGTCACTTCTAATTCCTTTTCAGACTGAGTAAAGACAGAAGAAATGTTTTTCCACACTGCTTCTTTTCTCTATATTTTTTCCACATCAAGACCTCTCTAAACCTGCTTCTACTAAGCAGCTCTCCCTCTCAGCAGCTATCAAAAGCTTGTGAGTAACTTAAAGAGGGTAGGGATTCAGATAGATTTTCTTTGACCGGAGGATAATATATTGCAGAATGCAATTTAAAACTCTCAATCCTAAACCAAGGTTAACACATTTTGCCTTGGAACAAAGCATTTCCTTTGGAGCACAGGGAGGGAACACTCTATATATTGATTCTTGCTCAGTTGGGGCCTGCCCCACCTTCCCTCTCTTGCAGGCACGCTGGGATGTGGCTGTGGGTAGCCTTACCCTGGACCACTGCCAGGGCCTCTTGTCACGTCTGATTCCCTCAGTGTCCTTCCCTCACCTGCTCTCCTGGAAACGCAGCTCCCAGCCTGTCTGGTGGAGCCTTTCTCCTGAGTTCAGTGTGATTGTCCTTCAGTTGCCCCGACCTGGCTCTTGACTCCCATCCAGATCCAGCATTTTCACATTAGTGTGGTTCCTGCACAGCCAGAGAGAAGAGAAAGGAAGCTAATTGAGGAAGCTCTGTTCTAAGTAACTAAAAGGTTTGCTTTAAAAATACATCCACTTAGGGCTTATCTTCATTGCTGTCTCTATGAAGCAGCATCAGGATCAGATAACAGCAGAAACACATTAGCCGTGGAATTGGCTGCTTTCCCAAAATGCCCAGCTGGGAGGGCTGGACTGAGAAGAGCGGCTGACAGGAAAAGAGGAAGAGACACTCTGACTTATTTGAAAATTAAGATAAATCAAAGATCTCTCCACTCATCTCCACTGACGTGTCATCGTTAGAATCAAGGCAGTTACACACAGACATCTGGAACGATACATAAGCCTTTGGTGAGAGTTTCAATAAGATATCAAAATCATGAAATTATTTGAAGGAAAAATCAGACACTTTATGGCCGTGTCTATAGGACATAGTTGGCTAGTGAGACAAATTCAGAATCTGACAGACAGGTTTTTGGGGTTTTTGTTTGTTCATTCATGTTTTTGTTTTGACACCATGAGCCATTATATTGCGAAGCAAAGCTAATTGGATTTGCATGAACTTTTTGACTGTTTGTTTGGAGTTGGTACTGTTGTAGATGTTTATGTCCCGCCTATATATTTGTATTTTCTCCAAGAAATAGATTATATGTCATGTTTCAAGCGCATTAGTCCACTTCATATTCTGCAGATCAGAGATCCAATATCAAACCTTCCCAGGGTGTCTGTATTCTGACAACAGTACACTGAGACCATGTCCCTACAGTGCAAAATGAAGAGTTGGCAGTTATCAAGGTAATTTGATAAGCCGTATGAGAAAATTCTGTGCCCCAAATAAACTTTGCCTCATATTTACATAGTTAAGGGCTACTCGGTCAGCTTTTGCTACGTAACAAATCATTCCAAAACATGGTGGCTTGGCGCAACCATTCACTTCTGTAGATCGGTAGTTTGAGCTGGGCTGGGCTAGAATGTTCTTCCGGCCTTAGCCAGGCTCACCCGAGGGGCAGCTGCCACTGGCAGAACTGCTGTCAGCTAGCTGAGCTGGGATGAGCCCTGCAAGAGTGGCAAGCTCCGCATGGATCCTCATCCTTCAGCACGTTAGCCCTGCTGTCCTCATGGTGGTCCCAGGCCCTAGGTTCAAGGGGTGGCAAAACAGACCTTACCTCTTGATGGTAGGAGCTGCAGGTGCATTGCAAAGGGGTGTGGATATAAGGAGGGAAATCACTGTGGCCTCTTTGGCCAACTATCTACAGTAGGCGCATGCTGCACTGGACAGGCATAGCTTCCTGAGGGCATGAACCATATCTGCCTTGCTCCTTCTTCTTTCTCCAGCAGCTAACTAAAACAGTGTCTGACACATTAAAAAAAGTCCTCCAAAAATATCTGTTGAATGAATGAATGATCAGAGGGCTTATGATATTTCAGGAGATATGGAGGGTGGTAAGAATGACCCTTTTCTTATGCAACTGATGGACAACCTCAATGCTTGCATAACACTCTGATGTTATTCCAGGCTCACCCTTCAGTAACTGGAAAATATTCACGGGAGGGGTTCTTTGTTTTCTTTTCTCTATTCCTCTGATCAAAAGTTCTACTTTCCAAAAAAAAAAAAAAAAAATTGTTACATTTGTGCTTGTCTTCTAATTTTATTTTTAACAAGTGCTATTGATGAGCTGGCCAAGAACGGGATTCGGTGCCCTAAAGAGGTCTTGCCCTAAGTATAAAAAAATAAAATAAAATAAAAGATGTCTTCATGTCCTTTTGTGCATTCCAGGGCTCAGCCTCCTGCTCCAGCTGTAGGACTCCATGCCTGATTTATGTTCAGCTCGTTGTCTTTATGGCTTCTAGATTTTTATTGGGTAGACTTAGACATAAGTTTTCCAGCTGCTTTCCGTGCAATTTAATCTCTCTGTAGGTGTACCACCCAACAGTTGTTACCGGACCCCACCTTGCTTCAGAGCACTACCCCCATTTGCTCAGATCAATTCAGATCAGCTCAGACCTGAGATGCTGGCCACGCCCACCTGCCTTCGCTGCTTGGTTTCCCACCCTGGTTGTATTCCATAATGCATTTTCTGTTGTGATACCTAGACTATGTCCTTTAATGGTTAACATATGGGAAAAGAAACAACTCTATTATACCAGTTGGATTATTATTTAAAGAGTTTGTATTAACCATAACCATCATAATAATGCTATCTTACATTTGTATCACTGCTTACAGATGAAAAAGTGTTTTTGTGTGCACTATCACCTTGGCTTCCTACAACAACCCTGATGGGTAAACATGAAAAACTAAATGCTCAGGGAGGCTCAATTACTATAAAAATCAAACCACCAGTAAGAGGCAGAACCCAGACAAACATCTGGGCTTCTAATATTAATCCAAAACTTTCCTCTGCTTTCCTACACAATGCCGATTTGTGCTCAAATATTATTACAGGGTCTCAGCCAGAGGTTCTCAAACCTTATTAGGCATATAAGTTCTGAGAAACTCCTCTAAGAAATTCTGGTTCACTGGGTCAAGGTCGAGGTAGGGTCCAAATATCTTCATTTTGAATAAAACATGAAACTGAAAACTGATTTAAATTGTAACTTTATAAAATACTATTAAAGTTACTGTTTTGTCTAACCTGGCTACCACTTTAGTCAAGCTGATTGGTAAGAATTTTTTCACCAAATGAGTCTTGTGTTTAGCAAAATAATGTAGCTATAGTGGGAACAAAGCCTTAACTTTCTATGTATCAGTGAGTCTTAGAGGATATAGAGATATAACATTGATAAAGTTAATATTATGGTACCTCCTGCCAATTTCTTCTCATTAATATGGCAAGTCCAGCCCTAAGCCCTCTGGTTACCATTTTTAAAGCATTTTCTTGACATTTTCATCCAAGTAGCATGTCAAGAAATTAGGAGATGCTTTGCAATTGTATTAACTACAAAGCTATATTATCCCCAGCTAAACTAAAAGCAGAAGCCTAATTTTTTAAATCAACCACATCACTCTCAAAAACTAGATC